AGGGTTTCAACTCAGCGACTCGGCACCCAAGAGGCGACACTGAAGTCATGCTCTACGATGCAGCCGGTAGACTTTGGCTCAACAAGGCTTCTTTGCTTGCTTCTGATCTGCATCGGGTCAACAGAATCGTCCACATGCTGGAGTTTTCGACATCCGGGCTTTGCTGTTGATGGAAGACACATCCACGGCATTTCTCGGAGAATTGCAGGCTGAGGCTTAACAACACCGAGCTGCGCTGAGGCTGTCGGGATTCACCCACAGATCCTGGCGCTCATCCGGGCAAGACATGAAAGGGGGGCTTACAGCAATTCCGGGGCACCGCCCCCCTCGCGCGTGCGGGACCTCTTTTGATAGGCGCCTCTGGACAAGTTTCTTGCAAGCTCCAGCTAGTAGAGCTTCCGCAGGTTTCAGAAGCACAGACCTTCTCCGATTCTCCGGAGCGATTTCGAGATCCAGCTCCCCTTGCCCTGCCTGCCCCAAGAAGCGCTCTTGGTTCAGCGGGGACAGCCTGAGAAGGGTACTACTTGTATTCGCAGTCGGCACCCACACTGATCTTTGAACTGTCCATCAATCGCAATGAGAATGAAACATCACTCATGACGGTGACGGTGGCACTATGTACCATGTGGCTCTTGGAACTAAATGCCATCTGCTGAAACAATGTGGGGTGGAGCACCATAGAGCAACAGTTCTAAACAGAACATCTAGGGGTTCCGTCGGTTCCGCGCAGGCTGATTTGTGCTGAGGTGGGAACTGTCCGAGATAAGCAGCGTCCACCCACCTTCTGGAGGTCGCCCCTGGCATGGGTGGTAGCAATATCGCAATGCCAATGCTGGAATCCGATACTTAGCCACTCATCCGCGATGAGGCCCTGCAGGATGGGTTGGAACCCCACTCTTAGTAGCGCAGCACTCCTCCAACTCCCGAGGCGCCCCGGCAGTCGCATACTTTGCCTCCTTGCGTTTGATGTAACTTTACCGATTACATCGAGGATTCCCTCTTGTCCCCGCCTACCCAGTAGAGCCGGTAGTAGAAGCTGCCCGAGATGTGCACGTGCAGAAAGTTCAGCAGCGCAGCCTCCCCAGTCCCAACGCATGCAGGCTAAAAAGCCAAACAACCACATCCCGGAAGGCTCGACAATTCCCAAGCCAGGTGTAAGCCGAACCGACCATAATTCAGCTCCGAGTCCCAAAAAAAGCTTGACACTTCTGACATGCTGCAGCTTTCACAGCAAACAGGCAAGAGCTTCAGGGCTGGATGCTGTTGTGTAAGCTACAAGACAAAGGCTCGAATACACAGCCTCCAACTCGTACCGATTTCCTCAGCTGCTCTCTGCTGCTGCAGTGCACTCTGCCGCCACAGCGCAAAGTACTTGCCAGGCAAGGTGAGCCTAGTGACTGGTGACTTCGGAGGAAACATAAACACCGAATGCAACAAAACAGCGGAAAGAAACGATGTCGCCGAATGTTTGGATTCGGTGCATCTTCTGCCTGTTGGATTCTTATACCACAATTTCCAATGAAAATTTTAACTTTAGCTTCAGCTTCACATGAACAGCTGAAGAGAGCCAATGCTCTCAGGAGAACAAAGACATGAGTCTCCTGCTCAGTGGCCTTAGTACAGAAAGCTGAGGAAGGTCCGAATTCGCATAGTGGCAGAATGGGCCTCAACGACTTCTTAGGACCTTTCGAAGACGAACGTCACACAAAGAAGGAGGTCCTTTTGAACACTGAGCTTGAGTACACTATAGTGCTAGTGATGATTGTTGCTGTTGACTGTCGCCCTGATGCTGATGTGAGCATGATGCGACTTCATGGTAGGTGTGGCCATGACAAGGAGTGAGTCCACTTTTGAACCCTGGGCGCAGTCCTGGAGGCCGTGCTCTTTGAAAGCCATGATCCCGGGAGTCATTGGGAGTGGGATCCTTTGACCGAGCGGCGGTAGTGCTCCTGCTGATTGTCCGTGGGTGTCTGCAGGGCGGCGAAACACCAAGGCCTGGGGGGGTATTCTACGAGTGGAACGCCCTGGATCAGATCCGAAGATTGTCAAGAACATGCAGAGTTGCAAGCAATGTGCGTGGTAACGAAGTACACTAAGACTCTAAGACTGGCTAGCAAGTAACTTTCCGGAATGCCTCATGTCATGACAGGCGAGATCAGTGGACAGTCGAAGTGGACACAGCAAGAAGGGCTCCAACTGAGCTGTGGTGTTGTGGCCACCACACCAGGACCTCCACCTGCGGCATGTGGCATGAGCAAATCTTGTGCATGTGTGTGTGCACCCACCAGTCTGTCCGTCCTGACAGAGCTGCAAGTTGTGCCAAGAAAAGATAAATTGAAAGGATCGGCAAGCGCGGGAAACTGGAAACCGCCTTTCATAAATCAGGTCTGCGGCGAACTTGGCAGAATCCTGGTAGCTGGGGTGCTGGGCCATGTGTCCATCGGGCCTATACAGCTTGGATGTAACTGCATGGATGTATGTAAATGACCATCTCTCTGTCTGGCAAGCTTTACTAAGATTAAATACATGCAAAAAAAATTGTGAATGTGTGTGTGTGTGTTTGTTTGGGCGTGTGTGTATGTGTATGTGTATATATATATATGTATGTATGTATGTGTTTATGTGTGTGTGCGCATGTACATATACATTCGTGCATCCACACTCTTGAAGAGACACACCCATACATTGCATACATACATGAACCCGCTCAGGAATTTCCCAAACGTGCATGTGCTCGCTCTTGGGAGAAATCCACTCTGAGCCACACGAGGTCCTGGAAATCAGCAGTGGATATGAACATATTTCCCGATGGCTCGAACTGCGGCAAGACCACCAGCATGACCTCGGCTTGAGCTCCACTGCATGAGCTTGAACTGCAGAGCCCGACAATCCTGGGTTGGGCTGACAGACAGATGCGCAGGTTTTCTCGGCAGATGCATAGCTGCACTCCAGACAGAAGTGCATGAAAGGACTTCGGAGCATGCAATCTCGGCCCGGGTAGCCGTGTTTCTTTGTGTATGCAATCCTGCTCAATACTTGCTTGGCCCCTGCTCTTCTCAAGGCCTGACCTCAGCAGCATCGCAGCATGTGCCAGGTGCCCTGCCAACACGAGAACAATGACTCTGCGAGTCGTCATGTCCTCCGCTTGCAAGAGCTGATGCAAGTCAGCACGGAAGATATAGACCTTGTGCACCCTGGCGTCTAAGCCGCCTAAACATGTGCACTACAGGTACGACTCTTTTCAAGAAATCGGTCCGAGAGCTTCTTGCCCACGCGCGTCTCTTGCTTCGGCTCTTCCTTTCAGGGATGGCACCGAAGCTACAAAGCAAGCCTCCCCGGCTTCTCATGGACGCGGATGCAGTGCAGACTCTGTCTTCCCGCTCCTCCTCTCTTTGAGTATCCTCGCCTTCGAAGTCGTCCTAAGCAAAGCTGCTGCTTGCCATGAGGGCTGTTGTGGCTACACAAATGCAAAGCCCAAGGCAGTACCACGCTAGAGGCTTCGCGGTAAGATTAGACTCAGGCTTTGGGTGAACAGTTTGGCTCCGGGTTGCAATTCACGAGGAAGGTTTAAGGTGGCGGGCAAACAAGCTCGAAGTGCGCCCTTGCACTGGAGTCCTTCGCTGTCTCAGCCCTTCAGTTCCGCCCATCTGTGTGCGTGTGTGTGTGTGTCCGAATTGGCACAACGTCCCGATATTGTGCGACAACAAGCTCGACCACCCGCCACTGATCTCGGCCAAGTGCCCCAAAGCCCTCAACCTCAAGGAATCGAATGCCAAGACCAAAACAGAAAAGCTTTGGAATTGACATCTCCAGACTGTGCGGGCCTATAGGAGACTAATTCCGAGCCTCCAGGAAAAAACATCGAAACCAGCAATGAATCTTCCCGACCCTTACAGTAAAAGTCGTATCGCAACTCTCGCAGCAGTTCAGATCGCACAAAATCGGAAGAAGACATGCAGGGAGGACCGAGTCGTCCCCGTCCTGTCTCACCTGGCAACAAGTTGGACCAGAGGGGCTTTGGGCCTAGGGTTCTTGAGCTTCTGGAGCACGGCCTCAGGGATGCAAATCTTCAGTGAAGCCACGATGCAGAAAAGCCAACGACGCCCAACGAAGACGGCCTTATTTCCTTTTCGAAATCCGCAGGCCCGCAATGCTCTGAGGCAGCAGCTACGGGAAGTCTTAGCGACGCTGGCCCATCTCCGAAAGGACGGATAATTTATCCATTTTCCTACTGACAAGGCCAAAAATGCTCCGAAGACTTGCGCCTGAGCACTGGCTTTGTTGAACTGTTGGGCAGACATGTTGCTTCCTGGCCTGAAATTCGGACTTCGACTCTGTCGGCTCCTGGGAGAACTCTGGGCGTGGGTCGTTGAGGATGAGGGGGCTCGGAGCAGTGATGCGCTTATGCGGCGAATACCGTCAAGGTTTGCTCTCTCTACAGCTATCACAGGCAGCAGGTGAGACACAAATGGGTGGTATGTCCACAAAGCCGGGGGACAGAAGCATGCCCATGTTGTCTCGCAGACATGTTTAAGGCGAGATTACACTGCCATGGAGCTTTGCGGCCCATCCCGCTCAATATTCTAGTCGCTAGCCAGCACACGCTACTTGTTTTAAATGACAGGCTGAAGCCCCTGCAGCTGAAAAGACCTTCGAGCGCTTGTTGAAAAGATCTAGTCGCGTTTGGGGCTCGTTGCTCCTATGAAAGCTGGATACTATTGCAATCTCGCGAGCAAGTAGGCTATGTTACAGCCTTGAGCTGTGCCCCTTTGCATGCACTCCCAAAGCCATAATATGGGGAGCTTAATATTTAGAATAGGGTTGCGGGGTACATTATACCATAACTATAATAAGGAGCCCCCCAAAATAGTACCGGCGATTGTTTAGGCCCTTACTTTAACCATTGAGCCGCGCTCGACATCCGACAGGTGAACATGAAGTTGGAGCCCGACACCGCTCAAGCAAAAGCACCGAGTGATTGAAATCCAGACCCTTACGAACTAAATTCCGTGGTGTCTAGACCCTGGCCTAAGCCGCTTCAACAAGCACCCATGCGGAATATCCAACAACCCTGAAGTGCCCTTCGCAGATGCATCCTGGATGGTCTCGCCCGGTTTCAGCTCCAGCAGCTTCTGCTTCCTCGTAGTAGGCTAGCGGTCCAGTGTCATGTGTTGTCTGCCACTCGCCTCTAGGACAGTGTCTAACTCCAATGCATGCAGTGCATGCGAAGAATGTACGGATGGTGTGTGCGGGCTTTGGAACTCTTCTGACCAGCTGCAGGTCAGAATGACGGAATCAGAGAAGCCTCCATCATCCGAAAATCATAGACCTTCTATGCGAACGCTCCTTGCTTCCTCTTCCTTCTTCTTTTCCATCGCGACCCAATAAGCCTGCCAGGGAAGTGCAGGTTGCGGCTCAACACAACACCACGGCTCGAATACCGTGCCTTGTAGAGCTTCACTAACCGCATGAGCCGGATGATTCGGACTGTACCTCAGCTTCTTATCTTGAACTCGGCACATGGCTTAAGTGGCTCGTCGGAGAGCACAAAGTTCAAGCCTGCCCCACCAAGATCTGTCACGTCATCTTGGCTACTACAACTACAAGTACTACCACAACCTGTAATCTTACGATTACGACAACTGCCGCCACCACTACTACTACACCTCCTCCTCCTCCTCCTGCTGCTGTTTCTAGGGCGCGTTTCGTACGTTTGCCGGGTTTCTCGTTCCAGTCAGGGGACATCTGTGCTGTCATGTGTGGCCGGTTCTGAGGTACATTCGCTTTGTGCATGAATGTGGAACATTGCGTTTGTACTGGCAGGGACAGTACGCTCGGAGTTTATGAGGCATGCATCAGCTGCATAATCTCTGCATGACTGACATCGTGAAAGGCATGTGGATTTGCAAACATCCTTCAAAGCAAGTGATGTTGCGTCTTCCAACTTCAGAGTTGGAAGACGCGAGCGCGAATGGCTACCTACCCTGTCAGTGTTTCGGGGCGTGGTACATTCTAACTTGAAGCATTGATGGACCATCAGCTGGAGGATTATGCTTCCTTCGGGCTTCTTACACAAGCCCGAATGCAGAGCTTTCGCAGTTCAGAGTTGAAAGCTTCTGATTCTGGACATGCTTCAGGCCTAAAGGTTTGCCCTGAAAGTACATACAGGCTTCAAACTCGAGAGTTTCAGGTGGTGCTCTGTTTTCAAGGTTGCGGTTGAAGGTTCAGGCTTGAGACTCGAGACTTTCAGATGCTGACACTTCGAAGCATGCAAGTATGATGTGTATAACCGTTTCCCCCACAGAACAACAATAATTTCAATTAATTTCGACAGCAGAGTGGTCACAGCCAAACCACGAACCCCTTCCCAACCTGCCAAACTATGCCAAAACTTGTAGTCGCCTCATACTGTAGAACAATGAGACTACCACAGGGTTCCTTGCTTTTGGGGACTGCAGTATGCAGCGACGCAGTGGACATACAGTAGAGGCGAGTTGCGGCTTGCACGTGCACCAGCTCGACCGGCTCGGCTCGTGCGGAGAGCCTGGCTTCTAGAAAGGACTAGGCTTCGAAATCGGCTCGTACAGGAGAAGAAAGGCACGTGAGAAGCAAAGCCGGGTTGGGGTGTGATGGCACAGATGTGTCATAGCCCAAAAATTTGCAAACAGGCTTAACTATCTGTTGCGGCTCAAAGCCCTCAACCCTGAAATCGCCATCATCTCTCAAAGGGCTTTCCCGCCTCCTCACCCTCGCCACCAGCACAGAAGAGCTCTCGCGAGACCTCCGTGCATCAGCTTGTAGATGCCGGAATGAACTACTGAATATCTGACTAAGTGCTCGTCATCATATTTGGCCCATTCATGCTACTCGCGTCGGCAGATGTGGTCGCTTGTCGGGGTTTTGTCGGGTCGCTGATGACCATCGTCGTGCTTCGCTATTATGGATTGTAGTTGCTGTTGCTGTTGGTCTTGCTGGTGGTCGTGCTGGTGCGGCAGCAGCGGCCGTTCCACTGTTGCTGCTGCTGCTGCTTCTGCTGCTGCTGGTGTCATGGTGTCATTGGGTTTACCTTCGCGATTGCGGCAGAACATCCACCGGTATGAATAAGAAGAAGACCCGCAATGACAATCAGGAAAATAGTGCTCATGCGGCATGCGCACTTACAAGAATGGTTGTAATGTTGCCTCTTTCAAAGCATTTCGACCATCGTTATAGCACCGACAGTGGCTCTGAGCAAAATCGCAGTGATTCAGCATACAAGGATCACCCTGACTATGACGAACGCTCGAGCGCACGTCTCAGACCTGCTGCGGCGACATGCGTACCGTCTAAAGCCCTCAAGTCGCGGGCCCTGGACTGCTTTGGGGACGCTTTAGATTACATACGACTGGAATGCTTCCACTCCGGTCCGGTCGAGCAGCAGCTTCAAAGTTGCTCAAGCCAGGGGTCGTTGCAGGACCTCCAGGCCACAGTAGCCCCGAACCTAGCCCGACCGAGTTCGAGGCCCATGTCAAGTCCAAGACCAGAGTAACTGTGGAGCCAAAGTCCAGCATAAAGAAAAAACCTGGCACCACTTCGCTCGCCCGCGATTTGCGGTGTAGACCTAAAGTCCGAGAAGCCCTCTGACACCTGGCTAAGTCATCGCTATGAATATAGTCTGTATACTTCCTATTCTTGATATGTTTAATCATACTGTGATCGCTAATCACACCATTCTGTACTGGATTCCAATGACTACAGCCCAGCACGAGCAGTTTTTGCTCTCATAAGACTACCGCGCAGGTGGGGTCAAGACCACACATGTTGCATGAGCTGAAGGAAGCCCTCATCTGTCTTGACAATTGGCCCATCACCGATTGACTCAACCAACCTCTGAACACGATTGAACTCAGCAGTCTGATCTCAACACCGAGCCCGCTGCCAAGGAAATATTCCTCCTGACCTGAATGGACACGAAACGGTGTGGCTCCAAATGTGGCCAGCCGATGCCGGAATACGCGCTCTTGGTACGTTAGTCTTCCTTCTGTTCACTAGCCCTAAAGAACATGATTGTCAATTCCACAGACATGGTCATACCTACTACCTGAAGATAACTCGCAGAACGAGAGATGTATCATCTGGCTCTAAACTTACCACACACTGGGAATTGGGACGAACTATCTCTCGCTGAGGTCATCACCCAGGCTCTGCGCGACTATCTCGAGTCCGAAGACGAGACAAGCGATCTGGGCAGATTGCTACTGAAGTGGTCAGGGGATCCAAGTACTGTCTTGCTACCCAACACCTTTCGGGTGGTTGTTCGATGTCACAAACTAGCGGTTTTTGCATTTCAGATTGAATATTCATAAATTGTGATCTCAACATAGGGGTCCAAGGGGAGGGGTTCAGATCAAATCTCAACGATCCAACCCCCGGAATTCCGACACAAAAGCAGACAACACACACCCGAGCTCGAAGAGTTCGAATACACAATCCTGCTGGTGTCCATGCACTACATAGTACCGGACATAGGGGTATAGTTGGGGCCATGTTGGCATTCATAGCAATGATAGCTAACAGGACTAACAGGCAAGAATGGCATGCGCTGTCTACGTACACGCACCTGACAATCAAGAGTTGACGTCCCTTGGCATCAGCCGTTTCAGGCAGGAGGCCATCGTGAGGGCGTTGAAGAGCTCATCGGTTTGCTTGTGTGTGACACAAAGACCTCGGGCAAAAGAGGGTAAGATGCGTTTCAGTGACAAAACTGACGCTGGTGCAGTCTCTGCTTCGGAACAAGGGGCCACCGGCTAGCTGGATGGGGGTACTCGTGAGTGTCATTGCCACCATATGGCCAAATCAACTAGTGTCGACAGTTAAACGCAAGCCTGCACAAGATCTCATTCTGGAATGTAGTTCTCCCGCTGTGGCTGCAGTGGACACAGAGCAACGATCAAATGATTGCACATGTTGCCACTACGGAATCTACGACAAGGACTACGCCGATAATGACTACTGCTGCTGGAGACCCCTCCCTGGGCCCCTCCCCCTGCTCGCCTTCCTTCCATTACTACTGCTGCTGCTGCTGCAGCTGCTACTAATTCCTACTCCTACTCCGACTCCTACTTCTACTCCTCGCGCTCGTCCCAGTCCTCGTCCGAGTCCTCCTTCTCCCGCTCCCACCTCCCACTCCTCCACTCCTCGAGTCCTCTGCTCTTTCTCGTACTCCTTCTCCTGCGCTGCTTTGGCTCATGCTCATGCTCCTGCTCCGGCTGCTGCTGCTGCTGCTACTGCTGCTATTATTGTTGCTGCTCCTGCTACTGTTGATGCTGCTTCTACCACGACTACTTCTACTACCACGACGACGCCTACTACTTCTTGGCTACCAACTACTACCTTCTGACTACGAATTAAGAACTACGAACTACGAACTAGTAGTAGTAGTAGTAGTACTACTACTACTACTACTACTACTACTGTCACTGCCTGTCTTACGATGACGACTATTACTACGACGACGGGGGGCAAGAGCTTGGGGCCACAACCAAGGCCTCGATCCCCATCCCCTCAACGGAAGTCACCCCGATGAACTTCCAGCCAAGGAGCGAAAGTCGTCGCCGAACAGAGCGTAGATCGTGAGTGCCTCAGCCGGACGTTGCGAGTTTTCTGGTTCAAGTGCTTGGGAGGCATTCACCATTTCCATTGCCTCGCGCACTCTTGCGCAAAGGACTGCGCAAGCTTCGTTTGACGTTCATAAGACCTGTGGACTCAGATCGAAGATGTGCTCGATTGAGTGGAGTAGTTGTCCCACGTCGCTCCTCCCCTGTATCAGCGGAATAAGGCACGTCTAATTAGCCTTCTGCTTTGGTGTTTTCGTGTTCAGAGTTCAAAGAACCAGCACTCTTTCAGGGTCAGCAATCATACAGCAGGCATCCCAGGACTCATGGACTGTGGTCCGGGTGCGGGACTGTCGTCAACACCGTGAATCGCCAACTATTGCAAAGACGGCGGCTCTTCATCCGAATCCATGCCATCCTGGCTGCGATCCAGTCTCACACGACAAACACCAAGCAGCAACTTGTGCTCAACAACATCGGTGCCACTGAGTGCGAAAAGACTGCAACCCAGAGCCTCCCCCTCAAAGCGATGCCCTCAGGCCTTTCAGGATCTCGTATCTTGATCTTCCTGGCAGGCACGAGACCCGTCGAAACTGGCTCAACAAAAAGGCATTGGCAGGCAAAGCTTGGCGTCAACATGCGCTGCTTGAAAAACATTCATGCCAAACTGAAACCGCCAACATCCTATGAACCTGACCCGGAGCAGTGCTTTCAGCCCAGTGGTGGCCTGAGCCTCCGAATCAATTTCTGCAACTGGGCCATCGCCGTAGGCTTCGAAGGTGGCGCACTGGCCAGCAAGCACAAGTCTGGGATGGAGGGCTTGTTTAAGGGGTGATCATGCCCCTGCCCGGCTTCTTCACACTTTCGGCTCTTCTTC